ATCCAGTAGAGATTAACATGGCATATGTTATTACAAAATGTGTAGAATTGCAGGAAATTAGCTTAAAACTGCACAAATGTCTCTCCACCCTAAGGCAAAATGGGAAGAATTCCAGGTAATGAACTTTAAAACGTACATTCTTCTCTGCACTGTTAAGAGGAGGGCCACTAACATTTTTGTCGCGAGGTGGGGGGCTCCCCAACCAAATCCGGCTTAGGGCCCCCCAACCAAAAGGTGGGGGCCCCCCAACCAAAAAGGCTAGACCCGGCCCTGCGTCCATTTGATGTGGGTGAAATCTGAGATGTGCTATTCCATACCAGCCAGCAGTCCTATGCTCTGAGGAGCTCTGTGAATGTGACGGGTCTCAGCGGATACACTGAGCTTTGATCCAGAATACATCCACCTCCCCCTCCCCACTCCACTCTCCCTTGCCGTAACACTAGCCCACCCTGCTTGTGTCACTTCCACACCACGGGGGGCTCATATGCCAAGCAGCCAGGCAGCACAGCATTGTAACATGTCCGGGGACAGCTGTGTTCTGTTTGGGTCACATGACAGGGGACAGAGGGGTTCAGAATGCTGGAAGGATCGATAGGTCACTCCTGTCATACAGAGAAGCCACGTCCCATGCATGGCTCAGCTGAGTCAGGCTGTCGGGGCACTGTACCTGCTAATCACTGCCCAGAATGGATGGCTCATGGGCTGGTTGCCAGGTAGAAGAATCTGCTGGACCTTGATAATGGGTTAATCCATTGATATGTATTCTATAGTTTACTATACTGGTGCCAGTTGAGTATAGTATTGAATGGATGAGGGATTTCTACCTGTTTAAGACACAAAGCAAAGATATTGTTAGGCTATATACAAGGTTTGTTTGTGAAAGTTGGTCAGCCATGTCTGTTCATTTTTAAAGTGTGTAAACATAGTGGCTCTCCCACGAAACCTGAGAGTCGAGGAGCCTATCGAGGGAAATTCCCCCTCTTCGAAAAACATGATAAAATGTCTCCCCTATTTCTGGCCATATTGCTAATGTTGTATTCATGTGTGACTGACTGATAGACTTGTGTGTGTGTGTGTTGATAGTGAATGATAAGGACTGGATGTACGTGTCTCAGTAGTGTAGGCAGCTGCCGTGTGTCCATCAGACAGGGCACATTCCCATTCTGTCTGCTTCTGCTGAGCCACGGCCGGGCGAGTCTCACATACAGGGCAGTTAGGGTTTCCATCCAGGGTTCAGATCCTCTGCCCAGTGACCACACACACATCATCACATTATCACATTATTCACACCACACAACCACACACACGCGCACACACACCACACACCACACAACCACACCACACACCACACACCACACCACACCACACCACACACACACCACACACACCACACACCACACACACCACACCACACAACCACACACACACACACGCCAGCTCTGGACTCCAGACACTCAGACTGGCAGGACAGAGAAGCTCTCTTTAGGTGTTTATGAACTGTGATGAGCTTCTGTCTGGGCCATTTCTCTTTTATTCCCAACACTTCTACAGAGTCTGTCAGCATTACAGTGTATGAAGGGATTCCGAGGGAGTAGTAGTCATGTTCCAGTTGTATCAAGTGAGGAATACTTGGAAAAAGCTCAACAGTTCACGCAGGCCGCCCTTCGCTAACTGCCCTTTGATCTAGATAAGAATGGCATGACGGCGATCTAAGACTGTTGCCAGGCAGACTGGAGAGAGACGTTGTAATCCCTCTCTACGGCCCATGTTCTGTGTGTGTGTAGAGTAGACGTTGTGCTCAGAGAAATAAGTGTCAGTTAATGGACTTGTGCTGTCTGTCTGTCTCGTGGAACCCAGGACTCCCTGGAAAACAGTGGCAATTGTTACTGACTGGACTATCCTGGCTAAATAAATAAAATGAAGTTAATGCCCTGCACGTCTCTTTCCTAACTGGTTAAGATGAATCCATATGCTGTGTGAGAGAGAGTCGTTTGACACAGACGAGAGGCATAAAAAAATTGCAACTGGCCAATTTTGTGACTGGCTGCTTTAGCCTAATTTACTGAACGTGCAGGCTGGTAGATTTCAGGCCCCGAGGGGCCAGTTTTAAAATCTGACAACAGCAAACTGACTTTTCGGACAGGAAACCCATCCCATGAGCAGAACGTTTATCTGGGCTGGTGACTGCAGGGTCCATGACTTCTGGACTTCTTTCATCGTAAACAGGACTTTTTTTGTGTGTGCCATTTTTCTTTCAGCATCAGGGCTTTCTGTTAGTCAGACATGAGTTCAAATGCTATTTGAAATCTTTCATATACTTGTGCGTTGGCCTGCCTGGAGTGCCAGGTTTGGACTTTTTTGACTTTTCTATTGGTTTCATTGCAACATGTAAGCTCAATCAAGCACAGCTAATGTATTATTTTAATGATTTGAATAATATTTGAACCCAAGTCCGGTTACAAAGGACAAGTAATGGCAGAATAATGGCAGCTGGTTTCACAGAAACTTTTTCAGAGTGAGATGAAATGCTCTCGGAGGCCAGTAAGATCGAGCTGTTGTTTTTGTCCTTTTACCTCAGCTCATTTCATTTTCAGATGTAGAATGGCGTTTTCGGATATCACAAGGACGACATTATAAAGACCTCATGATCTGCTACTACTGTAGCCCCTGACCATCCCAATTGCCCTTCTCTTACAAGAAGCTAAAATGTAGTGGGGGAAAAAATACCCAATTTGTCATACTTGAGTAAAAATAAAGATAGCTTAATAGAAAATGACTCAAATAAAAGTGAAAGTCACCCAGTAAGTCCTCATGATCTGGGACTACTTTAGCCCCTGACCATCCCAATTGCCCTTGTTTTCTTGAACCGTTCAGACAACTGTGTATTTTTGCAAAAGCTGTGCTATGTAATTTTCTGCGGCACTTCAATAGAGGAGAAGAAATTAGAACCAGCTAATTGAATTGCTAAGAATTATAGACGGTCGTCTTATCCTGGTTGCTGTGGCAATAATCTACTTCATTCTGGCTTTAACAAGGCAAGAGGAGGGTGCTACTGCACTAATGATATTGAAACATGAGATACCTGATGATTTGAGGGTTTCTGTTATGAATATTATTTATTCAGCCCTTGGAAGATACATTTACCATAACACATAACTGGATGAATAATTCTGAATAGTTTCTTCATACATTCAAACCCAACATGCAGTTCACAAAATCCAAAGGTCTTGCTGTCTCTAAGGAGTAACAGTCGTCAGTACTGTTCTGACTTCAGTCTGTGAACTGACCTGCGAGAGCACAATGTTCCATTCCCTTATATCATGCTGTCGGTCACCAGAGACGACAACCTCTAAACTACAGTCTGGCAATAGTGAATAACTGTGCTGGAAAGTGCGTTCCTGCTCAGGTCCTCCATTCATTCAAACCTCTTTCTTTTTAAGTCGCTACCTCAGTACATGTGTATACTGTAGGTCTAGTGAAGAGCAGGGACAAATTAGCAGGGTCATTCTGTTCAGAGGAAGAGCAAATAGTTAGCTTCCTGGAACCGCCTGGCAGAATAGCGCTCTGGGGTCAGTAATGGCAGAATAATGGCAGCTGGTTTCACATAAACGTTTTCAGAGTGAGATGAAATGCTCTCGGAGGCCAGTAAGATAGAGTTGTTGTTTTTGTCCATTTACATCAGCTCACTTCCTTTTCAGATGTAAAATGGCGTTTGGATATCACAAGGACGACATTTATAAAGACCTCTTCTGATCTTTCCAAATTCTACGTAACCCTGGGTGGATTTAAGATGACCAGGATTAGATTTGTTAGAGTTCAAGTGTGTCACTTAACTTTAAAACCTTGTTTATACCAAAGTCTTGATCAGCTTGCTCTTCATTTTGAGGCTGTAGAAGAAGAAGAAGCTGTGGGGTAATAATATATTTATAGTAAAAGGGTCCCAGCTGTATTTATAGATCATATGTAATACATGCATGGAAGGGGATTCCTCTATACGCAAATAGACCGTAGTATTTGTATTTTTGTATTTATTAAGGATCCCCACACTTCATGTGGTCCAAACAAGGCAATTACATTACAAAAAATAGAAATCCATTGGTACATCATACAACACATTATTACACCTCTACTCTACCACTAGATATCTACAGTACCTATGTCCCTCTTTGTGGAACTTGACCATATGACTGGGCAGTAGTCCAGGTGCGATAAAACTAGGGCCTGTAGGACTTGTTTTGTTGATGGCAGTGTCGAGAAAGCAGAGCAGTGGTTTATTATGGACAGACTTCTCCCCATCTTAGCTACCATTTGCATCAATATGTTTTTACCATGACAGTTATTTATTGTAAGATTTTGTTAAGGTTTAGTGAATGATTTGTCCCAAATACAATGCTTTTAGTTTATAAATATTTAGGGCAAGCTTATTACTTGCCACCCATTTCTAAAACTGACTGCAGCTCTTTTTAAAGCTTTGCAGTGATTTAACTTGCTGTGGTAGCTGATGTCTATAATGTTGAGTCATCAACATACATAGACACACAGGCTTTACTCAGTTGCAGTTAATTTGTAAAAACAAAAAAAATCTGGGACATAGACAGCTGCCCTGGGGTATGCCTGACTCTGCCTGGATTATGTTGGAGAGGCTTCCATTAAAGAACACGTCTGCGTTTTGTTAGAAAAGTACCTCTCAATGCACGATATAGCAGAGGATGTTAAGCCATAACACGTTTTTTTCAGCAGCAGACTATGATCGAAAATGTCAAAAGCTGTTGAGTGCCCTTCCCTATAAGCGTGATTAAAGTCCGTTTTTTTTATTTGTTTACTGTGAAATAGCATTGTATCTGGTCAAACACAATTATTTTTTTTGTCGCTAGAGGAGCTTCACTTTAATCCCGGTCTCCATAACCAGGTTGTTATTGTAGAAGATAATATGTTCTGAATAACTTACCTGTATCTGGCTAATTAAATATTTTTTATAAATACATGTCTTCTGTCCACAGATCCACCATGCGCTGAGTGTTGAGGACAACCTGCTGCAGCCCTGCAGGAAGCTCCTAGCCTTTGCTGGATGTGTGTGTCTCAGGGTGGCATGCCCGGCTCAGCCTAGGTACGGGTACCGTGCCAGCTCCCAGAGGACCTCAGTGTATGCCCGTCTGACCGGGGCCCTGCTGGAGGCCACCGCCGCCCTCGGGGCCCGCAGCACTCTGACCAGTGTAACTGTGGGCTCCACTGGCCACGCCATGCTCAAAGGTAAGAGGGTGTGTGTGTATATATGATACAATAGACTAGGTTATCTGTGTGTGTGTGTGTGACAAGCCAATGTTCTGTTTAAACTGAGAAGGTCCCTCAGAAGGACCCATAAATCCATCTGTGGTTTGTATTCTCATAATAATGCAGTAAACCGACTACTACAATTACACTGTAAACCTGTTCAGACGCATTTTGTACCACACATTTATTGCAGTTTAACAGAAAGTGGTTTGAACTTCAGATTACCTAGGTAGAACTTGAATTGGCTTGTATTTTAGTCTGACTTCGCTCTGTCCCTGGCTCGTGTCCCAGAAGCGAAGGTCTCTGTGTTACTGTGGGTTGTTCCTGAGATTTGATCGAATAGAAGAGGTTCTCATTAGTTCTGTATTCCCCTGCTCTCATTTTCCCACATGCTGGCTAGCTAAGGTCTGGTCACATTGGGCCATGTGAGAGAGGAGAGGATGGGGACTGTGGTTTTCATCTCCACCCCCTGTCTGTCTGGCTGTCTAACCTAGGCCAGGCACTCAGCACGTTGGGACCAGTGGTCGTATATACTTTGTTGTTTTAGACTTTCACAGGTTTCACAAGTATTGGGTATCATAAAAAAAAACTACTCATTGATTGAGTTATTTCTAGCACCTTAACTCTGTAACCTAAGGCCTGGAGTAGGTCTTGCTTTCAGAGCTGTTCAAATCTTATGTTCTCTAAAGTTCTTATTTGTTAGTGTGGGTGAAATACAGAAGATCAAAAAGATGCAATTCCATAAAATGTCTCCATGAGTAAGACTACATCTGCTGGTTTCCCAACGTTATTATTCAGAGATATTAGATATGAATCCTTGTGTTGATGAGACAGATGGTGCCAACTAATGATAAAAACAACCCACGCTAATCTATTCACTCTGGTTTAGCTAAGTGGCCTGCAATGAGTCACGCTGAGGTTCAACTCTGCACCTCCTCCAAATCAGAAAAGCCAGGAAATTAAAAACGCAATATGCACTTCAAAGATGGCTGCTTTGCTCCTTTGATTAGCACAAGTACTTTTTCCCCTCTCTCCTTGATTGTCTCCTGGTCTAATCTGATGTTGGCTGACTTCTGCCTTCTTTCTGGCCGGCTCTCACACACTATCTGTCTCTCTCGGTCTCTGTCTCTCTCTCGGTCTCTGTCTCTCTCGGTCTCGGTCTCGGTCTCTGTCTCTCTCGGTCTCGGTCTCTGTCTCTCTCGGTCTCGGTCTCTGTCTCTCTCGGTCTCGGTCTCTGTCTCTCTCTGTCTCGGTCTCTGTCTCTGTCTCTCTCTGGTCTCTGTCTCTCTCGGTCTCGGTCTCTGTCTCTCTCGGTCTCTGTCTCTCTCGGTCTCTGTCTCTCTCGGTCTCGGTCTCTCTCGGTCTCTGTCTCGGTCTCGGTCTCTGTCTCTCTCGGTCTCTGTCTCGGTCTCGGTCTCTGTCTCTGTCTCTCTCGGTCTCCTCGGTCCCCTGTCCTCTCGTCTCGGTCCCCGGTCTCTGTCTCTCTCGGTCTCTGTCTCTCTCTCGGTCTCCTCTGTCTCTCTCTCTGTCTCGGTTCCTCTGTTCCTCTGTTCTCTCTCGTCGTCTCGTCTGTCTCGGTCGGCTCGTCTCGTCTCTCTCGGTCTCTGTCTCCTCTCTCGGTCTGCTCGGTCTCTGTTTTTCTCGGTCTCGTCTCGGTCTCGTCTCTCTCGGTCTCTGGTCTCTCGGTTCTTCTGTCTCTCTCGGTCTCTGTCTCGTCCTCTCGTCGTTCTCGGTCTCTGTCTCTGTTCTCTTCCTCGGTCTCGGTCTCTGTCTCTCTCGGTCTCGGTCTCTTCTCGTTCTCTCTCTCTGTCTCTCTCTCTCGGTCTCTGTCTCTCTCGGTTCTCGTCTCTCTCGTCTCTGGTCTCTCTTGTCTCCGTCTGTCTCTCTCGGTCTCTGTCTCTCCGGTCGTCTGTCTCTCGGTCTCGTCCTCTGTCTCTTCTCCGGTCTCGGTTCCTCTTTCTCTCGGTCTCGCTCTGTCTCGGTCTCTGTCCTGTCTTGTCGTCTCTGTCTCTGTCTCTCTCGGCTGGTCTGTCCTGTCTCTCTCCTCGGTCTCTGTCTCTCTCGGTCTCGGTCTCTGTCTCTCTCTCGTCGTCTCGTCTCTGTCTCTCTCTTCGGTCTCTCGTCTCGTCTCTGCTCGTCTCTCGGTCTCGTTGTCTCGTCTCTGTCTCTCTCTCCGGTCCCTCGGTCTCGGTCCTCTGTCTCTGTTTCTCTCTCTCTCGGTCCTCGGTCTCTGTCTCGTCTCGGTCCTCTGTCTCTCTCTGTCTCGTTCGTCTCTCTCGGTCTCTGTCCTCTCTGTCCGTCTCTGTCCTCTCTCGGTCTCTGTCCTCTCTCTCTCTCTCTCGGTCTCTGTCTCTCTTCTCTCTGTCTCTGTCTCTCTCTCTGTCTCGGTCTCGTCTCTATCTCTGGTCTCTGTCTCTGTCTCTCTCTCGTCTCTGTCTCTCTCTCTCTCTCTCTCGGTCTCCTGTCTCTCTCGGTCTCCTGTCTCTCTCTTCTCTGGTCTCTGTTCTCTCTCTCTCTCGGTCTCTGTCTCTCCTCGCGGTCTTCTCGCTCTCTCTCTCTCGGTCTCTCTCTCTCTCTCGGTCTCTCTCTCTCTCTCGGTCTCTCTCTCTCTCTCGGTCTCTCGGTCTCTCTCTCTCGGTCTCTCTCTCTCTCTCGGTCTCGGTCTCTGGCTCTGGTCTCAGTACCTCTTGGCTCTGCGTCTCCTGCTCTGTCCTCTCGGCCTCTCTGGCTCTGTCCTCTCGGTCCTCTGGCTCTGTCCTGCTTCGGTCTCTGGCCTCTGTCTCCTGTCACTCTGTCCTCTGTATCTCTCTATCTCTCACGCTCTTCAATGATGGTTTCACCTTGAAGTCTCCCATGGGCCTGTCTAGCGCGATGATGTAACACACACACACAGAGAGAGCGCTGTAAGCTTATCCCCCCTCTGGCTCTGATGAAAATCCTGCTGGACAGAGGCCAGGTGACAGGCCGTCTGTGATGCGGCTTTGACACGTTGAGTCACTAGCCCCCTCGCCATCCCCACCGTCCAAATATTAATTGCAGGAGCATTCCTTTGTTATAGAGTCCGGGAAACCGTACGCCGTTCGTTGAAAACCAGAACTGAAATCTGATGTAGCCCTTTGTAGGACTTGATTGAGATGCCGGTAACTGTCGTGTGAGGTTGGATTGAGACGGTACATAGGGAGAAAGAGACTCACAATGTTAGGCTATGAGTAACATGCTATGGACTGCAGAATGTATTCACCCAGCAGGTTTAGAAACTATAGCAGTTTACTTGAGTACTTCTCTTATTTGTACAGAATGATCCACAGGAAAGGTTTTGAGTCAAAGCCTGCAGAATACATATAGACTCTACCTGCCTTTGTTTGATTTACAGACTCGGTTCTGGTAAATAAAAACACTTGGTCCGAAACACACCTGTCCTCTTTCTTTGATATACAGATTGATGATGATCTATATAATGTAGTCTCCCTCAGGAGTCCAGTTGATGTTTCCATCTGTGGAAGAGTATTTTCATAATAGAACGTCAGTCAGGGGTTTGTGTTGCTTGAAGTCGAGGCTGAATGTGGTTGGGACTGTACCACACACAGCGGATGAGTCCATCACCACCCAGCGATCTTGTTCTCATCTCTGAAGAAAGGGTTAATACAATGCTTACATTTTCCAAAGGGTCCCGGTCAGAGGCTTTTGTGTTGAGATCCACCGGTCTTCTCTCCCCCTCCTCCTTGCCTCATTTCAATGGGCTACATACTGTTACTGTCATGTCCTCTTCAGGACATTGTCACTGATGTTAAAAAGCTGGTATAGTCTTCCAGCCAAGAACCAGTGTTTACTGCGACTATCTACTGTAATATATAAAGAACAGATACAGTAAGGTGTAGTTTGCTATTGAGAGCTTATTTAGAGATGGGAACAATATTATTTTGTGACTGATGACATTTGTGAAGACTTATGACTTTTATAGATCATGCCAAATGATCAGAAGCATTCTAACACTCGATAAAGGTGTTTCAGAGTTGGGGCACGTGAGCTCGGACATAGATGTTCACAGGCACTCAGATGACAGAAAGACTCAGTAATGTTAGTGCTGTATGCGGATCGAGCATATTCAAAACCACACTCGTCGTTATTGTTATGATGGTCTGGGTGACATACTGGCAGCTGCAAACACAAATAACCGCTTTCGAAAAATGCTGACTGGAATAGCCGGGTCAAGATCAGGTCACGGTACAGTGAGATTCACCAGTATGCTAGAGTGAAAAGCGGTTGTTTGTCTGAAGTGCAGACCCACACGGCGAGAGGTTAGAGAGGCTGTGTGTGGAAGCCCAGGTTGTGTCAGCTAGCATTGTTTATGATGTTTACGTTGAACTGCTGCGCGGTGACTGCGCTAGACTAGCTCTCGCATTGTCAGACAGCTTGTGGAGAAAAAGCAGGTGTGGGTTAAACAATGAAGCCTTTCCTCCTCTGAGTAGTCATGTTGTGAAAAGCCGTGTTCAGTTTTTTGTTTGTGTGCTGAATAGGGTGAAGTTTGAAGTCTTTTGTCCTACATGGTCTAAATGGGGTCTAAATGACTAAGAGGAATACTGTTTGGCTTCCTCCCAACAGGCTGTTGATATTATACATTGTGTGTTTGAACCATTATTTGGCAATATGGGGGTGACGCTTAGGGGGAAGTCTCCAGTTTTTAAGGCAGTCAATGGTGTATGACCTCATGCCTTGCAGAGGTGGTACCACAGGTCCCAGAGTGGTGGGGCAGAAAGAAAATCCCTGGGGCCCAGAGTTTTTCCTTATCTGGTAACCTATCCAGGTAAAACTGGACCTTTTATGCGGTATGAAGTGATTTATCAGTTGTAAAAAGGTTTAATATGGGCCATGATGGGACCAGAGTTTTTGTAATCCGGTCACATGGTTTTAAAAAATCTCCTGGAAAACTCCTGGCCTTGGGAAGATGAAAACCCTGTCAAACTGCAGCAACCTGTACTTGTTCATATTAATTACTTTTTAAAGCTAGACTAACAGGTGGGTTTCCTCTGCACAGACACAGAGACGGCAACATGATTGGACAATAGCACTCACAGGGCTGAGCTTGCTTTATGCAGGTTTGCATCATGTAGTCTTGCCCTATGCAACTGTAGGCCTAATTAAAACTGATGTCAGTCTGTCAGCTATTGTGTAATAGTAATTCAAGTTAATAATTGTGGCTTTAAAACTTCTAGGTAGCCTAGTCAGCCTAAGTTTGAAAATAAACCAAATTTGAGCCCATTCACATTCATATTAACACAAATAAATGGTCTATAAATACATAATGTTACGGTTTCGTTTACCCTGGCATAGTAGACTGTATGAAGCTGCTGTTGTTAGTAGCCTACAGTTTATCAGACAGAAAAATAATCTAGGTTCCATGCAATACAGCATGCCAGATAGTCTTTAATGTTTAGGTGTAGGCTGCTACAACATTTATAAAGAGTTTGTGTCTGTCGGGAGTGATGTGTTATCAGCAGTGGCGTAGCGCAGTTTTGCAAGGCCACATGCGAGGTCCGATCAAGTCCCCCCCCCTCAAAAAAACAAAAATTATTTATACAGTGGGGAGAACAAGTATTTGAAACACTGCCAATTTGGCAGGTTTTCCTACTTACAAAGCATGTAGAGGTCTGTAATTTTTATCATAGGTACACTTCAACTGTGAGAGACGGAATCTAAAACAAAAATCCAGAAAATCACATTGTATGATTTTTAAGTAATTAATTTGCATTTTATTGCATGACATAAGTATTTGATACATCAGAAAAGCAGAACTTAATATTTGGTACAGAAACCTTTGTTTGCAATTACAGAGATCATACGTTTCCTGTAGGTCTTGACCAGGTTTGCACACACTGCAGCAGGGATTTTGGCCTACTCCTCCATACAGACCTTCTCCAGATCCTTCAGGTTTCGGGGCTGTCACTGGGCAATACGGACTTTCAGCTCCCTCCAAAGATTTTCTATTGGGTTCAGGTCTGGAGACTGGCTAGGCCACTCCAGGACCTTGAGATGCTTCTTACGGAGCCACTCCTTAGTTGCCCTGGCTGTGTGTTTCAGGTCGTTGTCATGCTGGAAGACCCAGCCACGACCCATCTTCAATGCTCTTACTGAGGGAAGGAGGTTGTTGGCCAAGATCTCACGATACATGGCCCCATCCATCCTCCCCTCAATACGATGCAGTCGTCCTGTCCCCTTTGCAGAAAAGCATCCCCAAGGAATGATGTTTCCACCTCCATGCTTCACGGTTGGGATGGTGTTCTTGGGGTTGTACTCATCCTTCTTCTTCCTCCAAACACGGCGAGTGGAATTTAGACCAAAAAGCTATATTTTTGTCTCATCAGGCCACATGACCTTCTCCCATTCCTCCTCTGGATCATCCAGATGGTCATTGGCAAACTTCAGACGGGCCTGGACATGCGCTGGCTTGAGCAGGGGGACCTTGCGTGCGCTGCAGGATTTTAATCCATGACGGAGTAGTGTGTTACTAATGGTTTTCTTTGAGACTGTGGTCCCAGCTCTCTTCAGGTCATTGACCAGGTCCTGCCGTGTAGTTCTGGGCTGATCCCTCACCTTCCTCATGATCATTGATGCCCCAACGAGGTGAGATCTTGCATGGAGCCCCAGACCGAGGGTGATTGACCATCTTGAACTTCTTCCATTTTCTAATAATTGCGCCAACAGTTGTTGCCTTCTCACCAAGCTGCTTGCCTATTGTCCTGTAGCCCATCCCAGCCTTGTGCAGGTCTACAATTTTATCCCTGATGTCCTTACACAGCTCTCTGGTCTTGGCCATTGTGGAGAGGTTGGAGTCTGTTTGATTGAGTGTGTGGACAGGTGTCTTTTTATATAGGTAACGAGTTCAAACAGGTGCAGTTAATACAGGTAATGAGTGGAGAACAGGAGGGCTTCTTAAAGAAAAACTAACAGGTCTGTGAGAGCCGGAATTCTTACTGGCTGGTAGGTGATCAAATACTTATGTCATGCAATAAAATGCAAATTCATTACTTAAAAATCATACAATGTGATTTTCTGGATTTTTGTTTTAGATTCCGTCTCTCACAGTTGAAGTGTACCTATGATAAAAATGACAGACCTCTACATGCTTTGTAAGTAGGAAAACCTGCAAAATCGGCAGTGTATCAAATACTTGTTCTCCCCACTGTGTGTATATATATACATATATCTCCATCCATCCATCTCGGGAAAAAATTAAGAGACCACTGCAAAATTCAGTTTCTCTGGTTTTACTATTTATAGGTATGTGTTTGGGTAAAAATAACATTTTTGTTTTATTCTATAAACTATTGACAACATTTCTCCCAAATTCTAAATAAAAATATTGTCATTTAAAGCATTTATTTGAAGAAAATGAGAACTGGTCAAAATAACAAAAAAGATGCAGTGTTGTCAGACCTCGAATAATGCAAAGAAAATAAGTTAATGTTCATTTTTAAACAACACAATAGTAATGTTTTAACTTAGGAAGAGTTAAGAAATCAATATTTGGTGGAATAACCCTGATTTTCAAATCACAGCTTTCATGCGTCTTGGCATGCTCTCCACCAGTCTTTCACATTGATGTTGGGTGACTTTATGCCACTCCTGGCGCAAAAATCAAGCAGCTCGGCTTTGTTTGATGGCTTGTGACCATCCATCTTCCTCTTGATCACATTCCAGAAGTTTTCAATGGGGTTCAGGTCTGGAGATTGGGCTGGCCATGACAGGGTCTTGATCTGGTGGTCCTCCATCCACACCTTGATTGACCTGGCTGTGTGGCATGGTACATTGTCCTGCAGGAAAAACCATTCCTCAGAGTTGGGGAACAATGACAGAGCAAAAGGAAGCAAGTTTTCTTCCAGGACAACCTTGTACATGGCTTGATTCATGCGTCCTTCACAAAGACAAATCTGCCCGATTCCAGCCTTGCTGAAGCACCCCCAGATCATCACCGATCCTCCACCAAATTTCACAGTGGGTGCGAGACACTGTGGCTTGTAGGCCTCTCCAGGTCTCCGTCTAACCATTAGACGACCAGGTGTTGGGCAAAGCTGAAAATTGGACTCATCAGAGAAGATGACCTTACTCCAGTCCTCTACGGTCCAATCCTTATGGTCTTTTGCAAACCTCAGCCTGGCTCTTCTTTGCTTCTCATTGATGAAGGGCTTTTTTCTAGCTTTGCACGACTTCAGCCCTGCCCCTAGGAGCCTGTTTCGAACCGTCCTCGCCGTGCACTTCACCCCAGCTGCCGTTTGACATTCTTTTTGTAGGTCACTTGATGTCATCCTACGGTTGTTGAGTGACATTCGAATGAGTTGGCGGTCATCCCGGTCAGTAGAGTCGTTTTCGCCCTCTGCCGGTCTGTAGCTTTGTTGTCCCCAATGTCTGCTGCTTGAACTTGTTCTTATGAACCGCCGTCATTTACATTTTAAGGATGGATGCAACCTGACGCTCCCTGTATCCCTCTGCCAGTAAAGCCAGAATTGAACCCTTCTTTTCCTCACTCAACACTTTCCTTTTCAAGTATTTTGGCATGGTCAATAGTTCTTTTTTGATTAATATTACTTTTGAGGTACTACTAGCACTGTTTTTGCCATCCAGATGGTCCTATTGCAGGAGGATAGTGATGACCACAGCAGTGGTTTTTATACTTTTCCTCGTTAAATAAGATTTGGTTCAGGTGATCACCTAATCAGTACCTAATTCAGTAGAATGAGGTGTGCCTGTGTTGGAAATCAACAGACACTGGAATGGAATGGCTGTCATACATGTAGAGATGCTAATTTAAGAAAAATGTGCAGTGGTCTCTTACATTTTTCCAGAGCTGTGTGTGTGTGTATGTATATATGTATGTGTGTATATGTGTATGTATATAGATATAATGAGGGAAAAAAGTATTTGATCCCCTGCTGATTTTGTACGCTTGCCCACTGACAAAGAAATGATCAGTCTATAATTGTAATGGTACGTTTATTTGAACAGTGAGAGACAGAATAACAACAAAAACATCCAGAAAAACGAATGTCAAAAATGTTATAAATTGATTTGCATTTTAATGAGGGAAATAAGTATTTGACCCCCTCTCAATCAGAAAGATTTCTGGCTCCCAGGTGTCTTTTATACAGGTAATGAGCTGAGATTAGGAGCACACTCTCTTAAAGGGAGTGCTCCTAATCTCAGCTTGTTACCTGTATAAAAGACACCTGTCCACAGAAGCAAGCAATCAATCAATCAGATTCCAAACTCTCCACCATGGCCAAGACCAAAGAGCTCTCAAAGGATGTCAGGGACAAGATTGTAGACCTACACAAGGCTGGAATGGGCTACAAGACCATCGCCAAGCAGCTTGGTGAGAAGGCGACAACAGTTGGTGCGATTATTCGCAAATGGAAGAAACACAAAAGACTGTCCATCTCCCTCTGCCTGGGGCTCCATGCAAGATCTCACCTTGTGGAGTTGCAATGATCATGAGAACGGTGAGGAATCAGACCAGAACTACACGGGAGGATCTTGTCAATGATCTCAAGGCAGCTGGGACCATAGTCACCAAGAAAACAATTGGTAACACACTACGCCGTGAAGGACTGAAATCCTGCAGCGCCCGCAAGGTCCCCCTGCTCAAGAAAGCACATATACAGGCCCGTCTGAAGTTTGCCAATGAACATCTGAATGATTCAGAGGAGAACTGGGTGAAAGTGTTGTGGTCAGATGAGACCAAAATTGAGTTATTTGGCATCAACTCAACTCACCGTGTTTGGAGGAGGAGGAATGCTGCCTATGACCCCAAGAACACCATCCCCACCGTCAAACATGAAGGTGGAAACATTATGCTTTGGGGGTGTTTTTCTGCTAAGGGGACAGGACAACTTCACCGCATCAAAGGGACGATGGACGGGGCCATGTACCGTCAAATCTTGGGTGAGAACCTCCTTCCCTCAGCCAGGGCATTGAAAACAGATTTTCTATGGGATTAAGGTCTGGAGACTGGCTAGGCCATTCCAGCATGACAATGACTTAAAACACACGGCCAAGGCAACAAAGGAGTGGCTCAAGAAGAAGCACATTAAGGTCCTGGAGTGGCCTAGCCAGTCTCCAGACCTTAATCCCATAGAAAATCTGTGGAGGGAACTAAAGGTTAAAGTTGCCAAACGTCAGCCTCTAAACCTTAATGACTTGGAGAAGATCTGCAAAGAGGAGTGGGACAAAATCCCTCCTGAGATGTGTGCAAACTTGGTGGCCAACTACAAGAAACGTCTGACCTCTGTGATTGCCACCAAGGGTTTTTACCACCAAGTACTAAGTAATGTTTTGCAGAGGGGTCAAATACTTATTTCCCTCATTAAAATGCAAATTAATGTATAACATTTTTGACATGCGTTTGTCTGGATTTTTTTGTTGTTATTCTGTCTCTCACTGTTCAAATAAACCTACCATTAAAATTATAGACTGATCATGTCTTTGTCAGTGGGCAAACGTACAAAATCAGCAGGGGATCAAATACTTTTCCCCCTCACCGATTAGGTGATCACCTGAACCAAATCTTATTTAACAAGGAAAAGTATAAAAACCACTGCTGTGGTCATCACTATCCTCCTGCAATAGGACCAGCTGGATGGCAAAAACAGTGCTAGTAGTACCTCAAAAGTAATATTAATCAAAAAAGAACTATTGACCATGCAAAAATACTTGAAAAGGAAAGTTTTGAGTGAGGAAAAGAAGGGGTCAATTCTGGCTTTACTGGCAGAGGGATACAGTGAGCGTCAGGTTGCTTCCATCCTTAAAATTTCACTGACAACAAAGCTACAGACCAGCAGAGGGCGAAAACGACTCTCTACTGACCGGGATGACCGCCAACTCATTCGAATGTCACTCAACGACCGTAGGATGACATCAAGTGACCTACAAAAAGAATGGCAAACGGCAGCAGGAGTGAAGTGTATGGCGTGGACTGTTCGAAACAGGCTCCTAGGGGCAGGGCTGAAGTCGTGCAAAGCTAGAAAAAAACCCTTAATCAATGAGAAGCAAAGAAGAGCCAGGCTGAGGTTTGCAAAAGACCATAAGGATTGGACCGTAGAGGACTGGAGTAAGGTCATCTTCTCTGATGAGTCCAATTTTCAGCTTTGCCCAACACCTGGTCGTCTAATGGTTAGACGGAGACCTGGAGAGGCCTACAAGCCACAGTGTCTCGCACCCACTGTGAAATTTGGTGGAGGATCGGTGATGATCTGGGGGTGCTTCAGCAAGGCTAGAATCGGGCAGATTTGTCTTTGTGAAGGACGCATGAATCAAGCCACGTACAAGATTGTCCTGGAAGACGACTTGCTTCCTTTTGCTCTGACATTGTTCCCCAACTCTGAGGAATGGTTTTTCCTGCAGGACAATGTACCATGCCACACAGCCAGGTCAATCAAGGTGTGGATGGAGGACCACCAGATCAAGACCCTGTCATGGCCAGCCCAATCTCCAGACCTGAACCCCATTGAAAACTTCTGGAATGTGATCAAGAGGAAGATGGATGGTCACAAGCCATCAAACAAAGCTGAGCTGCTTGATTTTTGCGCCAGGAGTGGCATAAAGTCACCCAACATCAATGTGAAAGACTGGTGGAGAGCATGCCAAGACGCATGAAAGCTGTGATTGAAAATCAGGGTTATTCCACCAAATATTGATTTGTGAACTCTTCCTAAGTTAAAACATTACTATTGTGTTGTTTAAAAATGAACATGAACTTATTTTCTTTGCATTATTCGAGGTCTGACAACACTGCATATTTTTTGTTATTTTGACCAGTTGTCATTTTCTGCTAAAAATGCTCTAAATGACAATATTCTTATTTGGAATTTGGGAGAAATGTTGTCAGTAGATTTATAGAATAAAACTAAAATGTTTATTTTTACCCAAACACATACCTATAAATGGTAAAACCAGAGAAACTGATAATTTTGCAGTGGTCTCTTAATTTTTTTCCGCAGCTGTGTATGTATGTGTATGTTATGTATGTGTATGTTATGAAAACAGCTAACTGCGGGGATGTGTTGTCACGTTTGCTAAATAAATAAGCTACCAGAGGAAAGTGGAGAGCGCGATTTCCTTAAATCTGATTTCTCAAGACGCGCACAGTGCTTGCAGCAGCACTCTGATGTGAAGGACAGTGACATTGTGTGCGAGTTGACCAATCATGAGGGAATTTGGTTAAAAAAAACAGCACTTTGCGCCTCTTAACACTTTAGCATCAATGTTTTTTATTAAACTAAATCAAAAGTGGTGAGGCGCTGCCCCAACTGAGTAAAAAGTGCTGGGGAAAATGCCAGCTTGCCACACGTATTCCAGCGGCACTGAATATTACCTTGATATACTGTTAGTTAGACTTAAATGTTCCTTTGTACTCTTTGGACTGGGGAGTGACTAAGCTTTTATCAAATATTTATCTGAAACCAATTTTACAACCACCAGTAAATCAATGGTACACTCCTTTTCTCTGAGATTTCCCTCCACTTTGTAATGAGTCATATTTAGCTTTTAGACTACATGTTTACATACCTGACTCCCCCTCTGTAGAGGGACACGTATAGGCTACATGTGTATGTAAACTGACCCCCAGAGAGGAGTGGAGAGGAGCTGGGATGAGGGGAGGGAGGAGTTTAGGGGCGATATGTTTCTCTGTGGGGGGGGGTTGGGGGGGGGGATAACTCTAGCCGGAGGTGGAGGTGGGGGGGGGGGGGGGGGGGGGTGGGCTGGCTGCAGGCGTTGCTGGCGCATGGCTGTGAGGTTTGTAGCGTGTCAGCTTGGGGAGCAGCAGAGCAACGAGAGCTGGAGAGCAGCTGGCGCTCTTGGGCTGCTCAAATGTGGACAAGTGCACCTCGCCGGTGCTGTGTGATCAACCATGGAGCTAACAGTAACGACAGCGCTGCTCCCGCCGTCTGCGGCTCAGCCATGAAGCACTCCCATAGGATGGACTTCAAGCTGATCAGTAAGTAGGCTTTAAATGAACCCGTCTAGACAGACAGGATTCAGTGCTGTAGTCCTATGGAATGGACTATACTGGGACTGTACTGTGAGTGTGTGGACTATACTGTGAGTGTGTGGACTACTGTGACTATACTGTGAGTGTGTGGACTACTGTGACTATACTGTGAGTGTGTAGACTATACTATGACTATACTGTGAGTGTGTGGACTATACTGTGACTATAATGTGAGTGTGTGGACTACTGTGACTATACTGTGAGTGTGTAGACTATACTATGACTATACTGTGAGTGTGTGGACTATACTATGACTATAATGTGAGTGTGTGGACTATACTGTGACTGTACTGTGAGTGTGTAGACTATACTGTGACTATACTGTGCGTGTGTAGACTATACTGTGACTATACTGTGAGTGTGTAGACTATACTGTGACTATACTGTGAGTGTGTAGACTATACTGTGACTATACTGTGAGTGTGTAGACTATACTGTGACTATACTGTGAGTGTGTAGACTATACTGTGACTATACTGTGAGTGTGAGACTATACTGTGAGTGTGTGGACTATACTGTGAGTGTGTAGACTACTGTGACTATACTGTGAGTGTGCAGACTATACTATGACTATACTGTGAGTGTGTGGACTATACTGTAACTATACGGTGAGTGTGTAGACTATACTGTGACTATACTGTGAGTGTGGTATGGACTATACTGTGGACTATAACTGTGAGTGTGTAGACTATACTGTGCAGTGTGTGTAGACTATACTGTGACTATACTGTGAGTGTTATACTATACTGTGACTATACTGTGAGTGTGTAGACTATACTGTGACTATACTGTGAGTGTGTAGACTATACTGTGACTACTGTGAGTGTGTGGACTATACTGTGACTATACTGTGAGTGTGTGGACTATACTGTGACTATACTGTGAGTGTGTAGACTATACTGTGACTACTGTGAGTGTGTAGACTATACTGTGACTGTACTGTGAGTGTGTAGACTATACTGTGACTACTGTGAGTGTGTGGACTATACTGTGACTATACTGTGAGTGTGTGGACTATACTGTGACTATACTGTGAGTGTGTGGACTATACTGTGACTATACTGTGAGTGTGTGGACTATACTGTGACTATACTGTGAGTGTGTGTGTGGACTATACTGTGACTATACTGTGAGTGTGTGTGGACTATACTGTGATTATACTGTGAGTGTGTGTTGTGTGTGTGGACTATACTGTGACTACTGTGAGTGTGTGGACTATACTGTGATTATACTGTGAGTGTGTGTGTGTGGACTATACTGTGACTACTGTGAGTGTGTGGACTATACTGTGAGTGGATAGAGGCTCTCTTCACTCAACAGTAAGCTATCTGCCTGCACCTTAGCAGCCTTCTCAAGTGTGTGTGGTAGATTTCTTCAGTTTCTATAGCTAGCCTAGTCCTGTGGGTTGTAACTTGCTTGTGTGCCTCTAGTCTCCACAGGTTGATTTTTCTGTCTCCAGAGCGGTCACGGACTGTTGCTACTCCTGTCTGTCTGTCCGTCTGTCCGTGGCTAGTTTACCAGGACTGGCTGGTCACATTATGTCCTGGTTTGTAATGGGATGTTTTATTTCGAGCTCCAAGGACAGACTTCTGTCCCTCTACAGTCTGTTGCAATGTTGTTTTGAAAGATGTGGATTTGTTGACATTAAACAGTATTTTTGAGGTCATGAATTTGTTGTGTGGTTTGAGCTTTAGAAATAAACTCTGGTCAGGTGAAGTGGTTAAAGTCGGTATCTGCTGATGGACACTTTTCTGTTTGTAATTTATGAAGCACTTTGTGACAACTGCTGATGTAAAAAGGGCTTTAGATATGCATTTGATTGATTAAAAACAAGGATTTGGGGTGTCATGTTAGGTCCTTGTCATGAGACTGATATCATAATAAAGAAATATGGAATTGGGCTGGTTTTAGATAAATAAAATAATTATCTCAGACTTGGTGCACCTGTTTGATTCATCCCCTACTGTAGTTGTGATTGTCATCGCAGCAGTGAGTAACGTCAGACATCATGTTCAAGGTTCTATGCTCTGCTCGGGTCAGTATAAATAGCCAGGTGATTCATCATGCCATGGCTCAAGCTACTGTAATTGCAAGCTTCTCTTGAGCAGCCTTTGTAATGGTTTACATTCTGTTATTCTCCTTCCTCACGCCAATAAGCGTCCCCCGACTTGCTCCTCACACAGGAAATACCACATAGGGGCAAAGGGAAAGCACTCTCTTTCCTGAGGGTCTGACCTCTGGCGTTTAAGCACCCTGAATAGAGCTCTGAAGTCTATTGCAGTCTTACATACACGGACTGTGACACAGGCTCACAGAAAGACGCCGAGTGTGATCACAGAGGAGGTCTTCTCAGCAGGATGTACAGTAGGCTACATCCTGGACCAGCCAGCTAGGCAGCCTGGGTATTCCCTATATAGTGCACTACTATTTACCAGAGCCCTATTGACCCTGGCCAAACGTAGTGCACTACATAGGGAATAGGGTGCCATTTAGGATGCAATGGGGTCTATTCTAAAGCAAGATCTTTGCAGACACTCAACCATGAGCCCTGCTTACCAGGCTTTAATGCAAGGCTAATGCTGTGCTTTGAGTAGGGCATCATGCATAAAGATTAGGTGAGCGGGAGACACTTACCCCTGGAGTATTGTACTACATAATCAAATGCAATTTATTTCCACTTCAAAAGGTAGCTCGTAAAAACAAAGGAGGACATTGAGCAGATGTTGGAGATGGATGATAACAGACCTTGATTTGTTGAAAATATTTACAGGACCATATGCTGCTCAGCTTTTTTTTAAATTAAACGTTCAATATTAGTTTTGTGATATTAACTTGATAAGAAGTCAATGATTTATAGCATTATAAAACCAAAACAAATGCTGCTCTTGTTTAAGGGAGAGTAGTGTTATTGACTACATGGATAAAATGGCTAATATGGTCAATGGCAAACTGTAATATGGGGGCAAGATGAAAACATTGAGCCCCCTTTATCAAGGTAAAAGAAGAAGAATGAATGACATGTTTTGTTTATGTTCTGCTTTCATGCCATTCTAGAACGTTCTGGTTATTTTCTGGCTATGAAGCTGTGCCATTATTTATTTCACCCACTTCAGTATCGTTTAAAGGGGCAATCTGCAGTTGGTACATCCAATGTTTAGACTTTTAAATTCATGATTGGAAGCCGTTTATTCTTGAAGAATATAGGCCTAACTTATAAATGCCTTCTAAGCTTAGTTCAATTGTCTTACTCCATCACAACCCAAAACATAAGCGTATTTTACTTCACTGTTTGTAAACAATGGCATTGTAAACAAACACTGCCTCAAAGCATGGTTAAAACTGTCATTTTGGTCTTGGTCAGTCCTGGCAGCTGTAGCTCGGGCTATGAATTTGATTGGTTACGTTTCTCCATCCCCATCCCTCAGCTGTTTACCCAAACAGTGGTGGGACTGCCCCTTTTTTAAGTCAAGGACAATTTTTTTTTTACCACAAGGCCTAGTGCAGTCTGCAGGATGTTGTGTTTAGTTAGACTCAACTCTAGGCCACAGCATGATAGATCAGGTCAATCTCACAATGTAAACGCCGCACAAATCCACACTCACACACAATGTTCATTACCGAGAGCAGTTGAGAGACTGCGCCGGATGCATAAATCAACCAATATAAATGGCCAACTTTTCTCGCCGCCAGTTATTGCGGTAGCCATGGCTACCTGTCGCATGTCTCAAAAGGTTTCCCAGGACATCCAGCGGTGGTGTGTGGCGGCTGAGGGCTGACGATGTCCAGAGGGGTATCTAATTCCCTGTATTTATGGTATTTCTGCACCTGTCCACCATACCAACAGAGCACACAGCCATGCATCTCCATGAGCAGAGAGAGCAGAGCTGTGGTGTGTGTTCTCAGGGTGTGTAAACACACGAGAAACGGGGCTAATGGCTCCTGTACGAAAACGCAAACGCACTTCTGCCACTCGGGTGGAAATGGGGGAGGCACTGAGAAGTTTGTCTGAACTAGGGAGTTTGTTTTAGACGTTTGTATTCTGAAAGGCAGCGGTGTTCAGCTTTCCTGCTATGTTTAATATTACCTGGGAATTGACATTGGAGGATGCTTTTTAGTTGACTGTGTACATCTCTCATCTGTCTATGTCTCTCAGAGCGTCAGATGTGCAGCAACATGTCGGCGTCCAGCACCATCCCGTCCAACGTGACGGGCATCAGCAAGGAGCTGGTCGACCTGCGTCACCTGATCCAGTTCCCCGAGGAGATCGCCAGCATCCTGACGGCGCAGGAGCAGCAGCTGTACCGACGCATCTTCCCACTGGACTACCTCTGTTTCCTCACCCAGGACCTGGGCAGCCCCGACTGCAGCAAGCGCCTGCACCCCAGCCTCAAGGCATCGCTGTCGGCCCCGGCCATGCCCATACAGACCCAGAGGAACACCGTGGAGGACCTGGTCACGCGATTCAATGAGGTGAGACTAGTGGAGAGAGGATGGGCTAATGTGACTGCGTTGAGTGGTCAGTAACAATCCTGATCCTAAAGATCTACTGGATGGGATTCAGTTAATAAAGGTCTTGATGATTAATTGATTAGTTGAGTCAGGTGGGTTAGTGCTGGGCTATAACAAAAGCTTGGACACACTGTTGCTCTCCGGGACCAGGTTTGGAGAGCCCTACTGTATAAGGTTATTAAAGATCTCACTTGACGGTAATGTTGTTAGTTATAATTTTTTGCCTTGTGGAATTGACCACCTGGTGGTATACTGTGTTTGGTGGTCGTATTCTGCCAGGTTGTTTCGCATACTTGAGGTGATTAGTGTCATATTACACTCATAAATGGAGCCCTTTGAGCTGCCCTCTACGCTGATTGACTTTGAGAATAAACATTAATAAAAACAGCTCGGCCGCATCAGAATGAAGTCCGTCCCAAGCACAGAGTGGAAATGATGTCATCTTTAAGTTGCACGCCGTAACATCAGCTGGTTTTCATTAAGTGAGAGAAGTAGAGCGAATGTGCATCCTAACCATTTTTGGGCATGTTTGCGGAGCTATAATCCAATGAGTGACTCTTCCCAACAGAGACAAACAGAGTCTGACATAACCTCCACAGCATGATGGAGATGGACTCACTGTGTGTGGTTACCTGCTGTGCCCCAGTTCCACCAACTGGAGCAGAGAAACTGGGCAGGTTGTTTGAGCCGAAATGGCTGTCTGGAGCAGTTAACTCTGACAAACACAAAATGCTTGTGTGGTGAGTTTGTAATAACTCTCTGTCAACCTTGATTATGTCATCGTTCCATCATGGGGAAACTAAACCTTGATAGCGCAGTAGGACACACAACAAAGGAAACAAGATTGTAAGTACATTGTATATGTTTTTGATCACTGGTCAAATGGTGTTATTGGCATTTACACACTGGAATTATAATTGTATTGTTATTGTGTAGCCTATTTGATTTATGGTATATCATATTGGAATCAGAGTGCCGCTCTGTTTTTAGTCCAGTGGATTTGGGTTGTCATTCTGATGTAACCCCTATGTGTCGTTATCAAAGGGAAGCCACATAACAGATAGGGACTATTTTAGATCCACGTCGACCCATCTCCCACCTTTTAATACGGACTCGTCCATGAACGGACGGGAGTCGTGCCATTTGGAATATCAGCCACTCTGCAAGATATGCACCTGTTTCTAATCTACCAGTGCTTTCATGTCCACCGTCCGCAATGTTTATAACGCTGAGGGACATAGCTGTAATGTAATACAGTCTGGATTCATATAGTTACGTACTGCAGACGCTTGGAGAGGGAGAAGAGGAATGTCATGTTTTCTCGCTCTATCACTTTGGTGCCGTCTCTCATTGTCAGTCGTTCCTGGAAACGAGGGAGGAGAAGGAGGTTGGGATGATATCTGTGTCTGATGGCGCTCTAACTTTATTTAGTGTCTCTGAAGTTTTGTCTCTGGAGCGAATCAAACTGCAGTTTCCCCCCCCCTACCCCTCCCCCTCCCCCTCCCTTTACATCTTACATAACCCAGTAATTAGATCTGTGGGGTGTTCTTTTTTTTTTTTTTAAGTCTACTGGCTTCTCTCTGGGTGTGTACAGATGTAGGTTCTTAATTTGACTCTTGTGTTGCTGAGAATTTTGCACAGCAGGAAATGCAAAGTTGTTTAGGTTTAAAAAGGTATAATGTATGAACTCACTACTGTAAGTCGCTCTGGATAAGAGCGTCTGCTAAATGACTAAAATGTAAAGTTTGTAATTTCCACTTTAAAATGTCATACATGATTTGCCCCAACGAAAAATGAATCAACCCCTACAAGATATTTCCATTAATTATAATCCCCAAAAAATAATTCACATTTCCTGTTGCTGCTGGATTATTTTCCTGCTGTAGCAAGCTGGCTCAAATTAAGATCCTACATCTGTAACTATAGACAGCCGAGCGGAGCGACAAGGAATGTTTACAGGGATGACATTAGAGAGTCGGACTGGCCCTGGTTCTGATGACTGGTTCTCCCATAGGAACAGAACAGACGTGAGACTGCAGTATCAGGAACCTGCCTGTGGAACTGTTTATGTAACCCTCGTTGTTTTAAGGGGGGGGGGGTTTAGCTGCGACACGACAGCGGGCAAATATTTGCTCCAACTGTTATGTCCAGTCCAGGGTTTCTGCATGAACTTGGATAAACCCTGGACTACTATTTTGGTTGGATGTATGCAACAAACGAGACCTGATGCAATCAAGAGTTTCATGACTTGTTGTAGAGCCGACTACCAGCATCGTTCTGTATTAGGTTGGAGATGGTGACCGCTACACCTGGGGTGAAATAAGACCTAATACCATTTCAATGAGTTCATCATAAATCGTGCTGTTGTTGATGCTGTGTAGAACATTAACCTGCACAGTGTGAAACACTAGTCCTCTGCCTTTCACTATTAGGGAGTGTCCCTAATGGCACCATATTCCCTATATAGTGCCTCTACCTTTGACCAGAGCCCTATGTGCCCTATGAAAGTAGTGCACTATATAGGGGCCCTATGAAAGTAGTGCACTATATAGGGACTAGCGTGTCATTTCAAACGTAGCCTGGCTGTTTCAGAGCATTGGCAGGTCATGAAGTAGACTATGTTCTAACTGTGAGAGTTGCTGCCTCTAACAGGTGAGCTCGTGGGTGACCTGGTTGATCCTGACTGCGGGTTCAATGGAGGAGAAGAGAGCAGTGTTCTCCTACCTGGTCCACGTGGCCAAGTGCTGCTGGAACATGGGCAACTACAACGCTGTCATGGAGTTCCTGGCTGGACTACGGTATTTCTGACGACACTATAGTCCTCCAGACACGTTTGATACACGCCTCCCTTTCTTCCTACAGCAGCTGTCAATTTACATATTCAGATTGCACCTATTAAAAGTCGTTCTGGATAAGAGTGTCTTCTACATGATAAAACATAATGTAAGTCAAATGTGAAATAGATCGATATGGAATTATACTCTGCTCCAGGTCTCGGAAAGTACTGAAAATGTGGCAGTTCATGGAGCAGTCAGACATTGAGACCATGCGCAGGCTGAAAGATGCCATGGCGCAGCACGAGTCTTCGTCCGAGTACAAGAAAGTGGTGAACCGTGCCCTTAACATCCCAGGGTGCAAGGTGGTGCCCTTCTGTGGCGTCTTCCTCAAAGAGCTGAGTGACGCTCTGGACGGGGCCGCCAGCATTATCAGCCTGCGCCACTCACCGCACGACTCGCCAGAGGACTCACTAGAGGTAACGAAGTGGGCCAGGCCCTAGCTTGCATGCCAGGCTTGTAGCATAGTAGGGTGGACAGACAACACCTGCTATCGCCCTAAAGCTCTTAACACAGCTTTTGATGGCTCTTCCTAGATGAGCAGTTTGACAATGTACACTTTACAAGAAGTTGCTGTTTTACCTGTGTAGTAACACTTTTATTACCACAGTAACAACAGGTTCACTTTACCCTGTTTCTCTTTCTGTGTAGTTTGTGGGGGACTACGGCGGGCAGCAGCACTTCCTGCAGAGGGCGGGGCCAGATGGGCTGCACAGCCAGGAGAAGGAAGCCACGGTCAGCAACATCCTGCAGATCATCCGCTCCTGCAACCGCAGTCTGGAGACGGAGGAGGGAGAGGAGGGCCAGCACGAAGGATCCTCCACCTCCTGCAAAAATACTTTCATGGACAGGAACAGGAACCAGTAAGTGACAGGATCAGGAAGAAGTGGCACTCAGGCACAGATCTAGGATCAGATTTAGGATTCCCGAATCCTATCCATAACCTGTGGTGGGAAAACGAAGAATCTGCAGTCAATCCTTTCCCCTCTCCATCATACTGTGATTGCGTTCATCTAGGCTTTCCCTCTACTTGGCTACACACCTCTAGCATATACAGTATTTGCATGTTTGATTTAAAGGTTATTTACACATGCATTTTCTATGAACGTTTCACATTCTAAAGCAGAATTACATGGATGATACATTTTAGATTTCACCTGTTTAAACGCACTTTAATCTGATAAAGTCGAGAATAACGTCTTCCACTTTAAATCCTAAATCTTTTCTCCCTGACGTTTCCGCAACCGACCTCCACCAAAGTGATGTAATATGTTTAATGTAGCTCTTATTTCACTGTGAATCCTTTCAGAATGACTGGTGACCCTGTCTTCTTTGACAGAAACACACAGAGACCGAAGCTTTTATACTGTTCTGTTAAGAGCCACTAGTTCTGCAGACATTGTCCATGGACCACTTCAGTTGAGACTGCCATTGTTGCAGCTTGTCCTATTTTTGAAGTGTGTCAGCACAACTGAATGTTCTGTCCAGCAGAGATGTAGTCGTAATGAAATATCATTGTTTGGCCTTATGAAACATGCTGAAAGCATAGTAACTGCAAGATGAAGAATTATATTTTAAGACAGTATATTTTAGAGAACATGCAACAGTAAAGCATAGATTATAATTAAGCAATAGGAGGAGGTGTGGTATATGGCCAATATACCACGGCTAAGGGCTGTTCTTAGCCACGACGCAAGGCAGAGTGCCTGGATACAGCCGTTAGCCATGGTATATTGGCCATATACCACAAACCCTGAGGTGCCTTATTGCTATTATATACTGCTTTCCAATGTAATTAGAGTAATTATCACAGAGCGTTTTGGTGCTTCTGCAATCAAGTAGCTCCCATCAACCATGATTAGACAGACTGAGCACTGAAAGCTTGTACCATCGCCCAATTCAGTTCTCTCATTTAAGTATATTTAAAATATAAATACCCGTGGTATACGGTCTGATATACCATGGCTTTTAGCCAATCAGCATTCAGGGCTCGAACCACCCGGTTTATAATGTCTGATATACCACGGCTTTCAGACAATCAGCATCCAGGACCCAAACTACCCGGTTTATAAAACGGTATAATCAATGACAAGTGTTACTTGACAGGAAGCACATTTCTTCCCTAATTTTCAAGAGGTTCATGAATCATATTTAATGTCAGGTTATCTGGGGGACTGCGAGTGTTTATTATGGGAATACTTTGTTGAGATAGCAGTTTCACAATTTTCCAGTTTCCTTTTGGCTTTACAAAGCTAAGTAAATGGCATAAATGATTGTGATCGAAATCTAAAGAGTTCCCGGTAAGTGTACTAGTGTACTACACTGGAAGCGGAGAGCAGGTTGCCAGCGCCGTATAGTTTCCTGACCCTGATGGGAGATCTGTTTGTCCTCAAACTGGGGTTAATGGTCACTGGGTGGAAAAGGCCTCTGATTTATGTCACCATTTTGTGTCCGGTGGGGCCTCTGGATCCAGTCAATGGTTTTCTGTGGATATCCTCTCAAGTGGTTTTCTGTGGAACTCCTCGCGCAATGTTGATTGGAGGAACGATAAGGCAAAATGTGACACCTCTCATCCTTTCACTCCTCTGTCTTCCTTGTTTTACCTCAACTATTTGTAGCTAGACACTTTCTGACCTTTTCTCTCTTTTCTTCCTCCCTCATCTCTCCCTCCACCTTAGCTCTTTCACGAGCAGGTCAGATTCCAACCGTGTCTTGTAAGTTATCAGACGACCGTTTTAGAGGTTTCCCACTAACTGACTTTGCTTGAGTTGTACGTGTAGAATTTGCTGTTATAATTGCATGGTGCTTTTTATGCTTGTTCATCTGTGCAACATTTTCCAAATCCAGTTGAACTGTTTGAGACTGGGCTGCATTCAATGCATCTGTTATCCTCAAAGTGATGTTATTTTGGTAGATGACATGGCTGGGATGTTACATTCATTGAGTAGAACAAGGTGGTGATGAGAAAATCATTCCCCCTCTATATGTCCTAGAGTAGAGGCAGAAACATTAACCGTTCACAAATACCCACTGATTGGCGTTCTACTCCTCTTTGACCTCCTTCGCCCGTTAGGTTTGTGGTGGGAGACCTGTCAGACTCTGAGGGTGATCTGTCTGAGTTGTCTAAAGAGGTGGAGTTCCAGGGGCACCGAGGAGACCCACCGGGCCTTCGGCCACGGCACAGAGCTCATCCCCTGGTACGTGCTCTCCCTCCAGCCTGATGTCCACCAGTTCCTCCTGCAGGGCGCCACCGTCATCCATTACGACCAGGAGAGCCACCTCACCGCTCGCTGTCTCCTCCGCCTGCAGCCCGACAACTGCATCCTGACCTGGGCTAATCCCCAGAGCGGCAGCCCCCCCGCGGAGCCCCCAGGCCTGGGTCAACCTGTAGTGAACAGCCTGTCGGAGGGCCTGCTGGACCTCTCGGTGGTCAAGGCTGTGTTCCTGGGCCACCCCGGGGTGGACTTGCATGCTGTGTGTGTGCAGAACAAGCTGTTAAACACCATGAGGGCCGAGGAGAATGGGGTCAGTCTGCTCTACGGGCTCCATACTACAGACAACAGGCTGCTGCACTTTGTGGCCCCCAAGCACACAGCCCACATGCTGCATGAGGGACTGGTGGAGCTGGTCAACGCCATGAGGAAGATGAAGAAGTTCCCCGATCAGAGACTGCACTGGCTCAGGAGGCAGTACGTCAGCCTCTATCAGGTAAAACGCTTCTTCATTGACATTGTGGATGATATGAGACGGCAGGTATATTGAATCAGTTTAGAACACACCAGGTGGAATTCATTTGGGATGTCTAATGTCCTGTTAATCAATACTCAAAAGGGAAACAGTGAGCCTCCGTAACTTGAGCACAGATGCAAGGAAGGTGATTTTGACTCGCCTAATGTCAATTAGCCTTGAGTGAGTGATCTCCTCATAGACTGCTGTGTGTTCGCGTGTCATCTCCCATCTCCGATAGGAGGAGGGCAGGTACGAGGGTCCCACTCTTGCACAGGCTATAGAGCTGTTTGGGGGGCGACGCTGGAACATGGGCACAGGGGGCACAGAGAAGCCCAGTGCTCAGAAGAACAACTCCATCTCCACCACCAAGAAGAAGAAGAAGGCTCTGACCAGGGTTAGGAGAAATATACAAAAAAATATAGTATCAGTTTGAGAAATGCAGCCTTCATTGTGTTTATTTGCCTGGGGTTGTGGATATCTGTGTCATTGATGGGGTGTTTCATAAACCACACAGGGAGACAGCGGGGACGCTACCGATGATGAGATAATCCAACGGAAAACCAAGAGCTGTAAGGACACCCTGTGCAGGAACAGGCCGGAGCTGTGTGACAGCATGGACCAGGAAGGGCTAGGTAACCTGTCTACTACACTACACCACAATTCCTCAGTGACATGTGACTGTCCTCACATACTAGTTTATGGTTTACAGGGAGGGACACTTTCAAAAATGGGAATATCTGGGATTTTAAATGGTCCGATTTTGTTGACTTCTGAATGACTCTTGTTCACTGTGTTTGGCGGTTTTTTACATTGCGTGTAACCCTGTACGTTATTGATTCCGTAGAGGACGGCTTCCCTGGACCCTTCTCCCTGTCGAGCTGTAAGACCCCTGGTTCCTCCTCCAGTATGGGCAGCTCCAACCCCTCCCGCCCTCTCTCCTCCCCCGTCCTGTCAGGCAGCACCAAGGCCCAGCCAGGGTAAGACATGAAACCTGACCCCAGACCTGTTCTTAGAGGGAAACGTTGCATATAGTTGATAAGACGTCTGTAAACCGATTATCATCTACTTACATGTAAACCTACTGATACTGTAAGCCTCACACCAGACACTATTGCCACTTTATTTAAACATCTTTATCTATAATATAAAATAGACATAAGAAAATACATTTTAAATCTAGTGTTTTTAACTATGACCGTAACCAATCTCTCTCATCCTGTCCCTGTGTAGTGCATGGAGCAGTAGGAGTTGGCACGGCCGGGGGAAGGGCTGCTTCAAGGGCTTCCAGAACCTCATGATCTCTGACAGCACCATGAGCTTTATCGAGTTCGTCGAGCTCTTCAAGTCTTTCAGGTGCTCCATCCAACTTGCAGCCTCCTCTCTTTATAGCGTACAGCAACTAATAGTCTATATACAATAGTAACATTAATTATACAAGTCTATGGTAGTGATTAAATTCACTCCCACTGGCAATATAGAGGGAACTCTCATAGCACAAGGGCACAATTACTGCATTCCATTCAAACATTCAGAAGAAGCTTTTAGAAATCCAACCAATCTTTCCCAAGGTTGTTTTGTCAAAGACACACTGCGGTTTTCTGAAGTTTCTCTCAATTGAACATAAAGACTAAGGCTACACGCCGAAACATGTTGCTCTTATGTAATAATGAAAAAGCATACCATTGTCCGCTGTCAATGTCCTCCAAGAGTGGCTGAATATTTCCCTCTCTTGTCAATTGAATGTAAACGCCCCCGTTCTTGTTTTGATGTGCTGTAGCATTCGGAGCCGTAAAGACCTGAAAGAGCTATTTGACACCTACGCCGTTCCCTGCAGTCGCTCCGGCACGGAGTCTGTCCCCCTCTACACCAACCTGAGGATCGACGACAAGGACTCGGGACTGCAGCCTGACCTAGGTCTGTCTCTCTGTACCCCTATGTGTTTGTGACTGTGTGAGTGGTTTGTATTGGGTACTGTTCAGTCATTGTTTAAAAGTAAATACTTTTATATATATATATATATATATATATATATACACACACACACAGTGAAGGGGAAAAAAAGTATTTGATCCCCTGCTGATTTTGTACGTTTGCCCACTGACAAAGAAATGATCAGTCTATAATTTTAATGGTAGGTTTATTTGAACAGTGTGAGACAGAATAACAACAAAAGAATCCAGAAAAACGCATGTCAGAAATGTTTTATAAATTGATTTGCATTTTAATGAGGGAAATATGTATTTGACCCCTCTGCAATACATGACTTAGTACTTGGTGGCAAAACCCTTGTTGGCAATCACAGAGGTCAGACGTTTCTTGTAGTTGGCCACCAGGGTTGCACACATCTCAGGAGGGATTTTGTCCCACTCCTCTTTGCAGATTTTCTCCAAGTCATTAAGGTTTCGAGGCTGACGTTTGGCAACTCGAACATTCAGCTCCCGCCACAGATTTTCTATGGGATTAAGGTCTGGAGACTGGCTAGGCCACTCCAGGACCTTAATGTGCTTCTTCTTGAGCCACTCCTTTGTTGCCTTGGCCGTGTGTTTTGGGTCATTGTCATGCTGGAATACCCATCCACAACCCATTTTCAATGCCCTGGCTGAGGGAAGGAGGTTCTCACCCAAGATTTGACGGTACATGGCCCCTTGCATCATCGTCCCTTTGATGCGGTGAAGTTGTCCTGTCCCCTAAGCAGAAAAACACCCCCAAAGCATAATGTTTCCACCTCCATGTTTGACGGTGGGGATGGTGTTGTTGGGGTCATAGGCAGCATTCCTCCTCCTCCAAAAACGGCGAGTTGAGTTGATGCCAAAGAGCTCGATTTTGGTCTCATCTGACCACAACACTTTCACCCAGTTCTCCTCTGAATCATTCAGATGTTCATTGGCAAACTTCAGACGGGCCTGTATATGTGCTTTCTTGAGCAGGGGGACATTGCGGGCGCTGCAGGATTTCAGTCCTTCACGGCGTAGTGTGTTACCAATTGTTTTCTTGGTGACTATGGTCCCAGCTGCCTTGAGATCATTGACAAGATCCTCCCGTGTAGTTCTGGGGTGATTCCTCCCCGTTCTCATGATCATTGCAACTCCACAAGGTGAGATCTTGCATGGAGCCCCAGGCCGAGGGAGATTGACAGGTCTTTTGTGTTTCTTCCATTTGCGAATAATCGTACCAACTGTTGTCACCTTCTCACCAAGCTGCTTGGCGATGGTCTTGTAGCCCATTCCAGCCTTGTGTAGGTCTACAATCTTGTCCCTGACATCCTTGGAGAGCTCTTTGGTCTTGGCCATGGTGAAGAGTTTGGAATCTGATTGATTGATTGCTTCTGTGGACCAGTGTTTTTTATACAGGTAACAAACTGAGATTAGGAGCACTCACTTTAAGAGTGTGCTCCTAATCTCAGTTCGGTACCTGTATAAAAGACACCTGGGAGCCAGAATTTGTTCTGATTGAGAGGGGGTCAAATACTTATTTCCCTCATTAAAATGCAAATCAATTTATAACATTTTTGTTGTTATTCTGTCTCTCACTGTTCAAATAAACCTACCATTAAAATTATAGACTGATCATTTCTTTGTCAGTGGGCAAACGTACAAAATCAGCAGGGGATCAAATACTTTTTTCCCTCCCTGTAAGATCAGAACGTGTATATATATTTTGGTGTACTTAAATGAGATGGTACAAGCTTTCAGTGCTCAGTCTGTCTAATCATGGTTGATGGGAGCTACTTGATTGCAGAAGCACCAAACGCTCTGTGATAATTACTCTCTAGAGGCTTGTTGGTTCAGAAGGACTCGAACAGTGGAATCACACTGTGGTGTAGGAATATTGGACGTTAATGTTGTTAGTGTGTTAGTTAGAGAATTACTTCTAAAGATGCAGTTTTCCTGTCCTCCACAGACTTGCTGACCCGTAACGGTTCGGACCTGGGCCTCTTAATCCGAACACGGCAGCAGATGTCGGACAACCAGAAGCAGATCTCGGACGCCATTGCGGCGGCCAGCATCGTGACCAACGGGACGGGCGTGGAGAACGCCTCTTTAGGGGTGTTGGGGCTGGCCATCCCACAGCTCAACGACTTCCTGGTCAACTGCCAGCGGGAACACCTGACCTACGACGAGATCCTCAGCGTCATCCAGGTGGGTCAGATGACTGGTCCAGCAAGCTGTACTTAAAGGGATGTCTTTTACGGTCTGAAAAAATCGGAAGAAATTTGATTTTGCAGTTTAATGTCTCTTTAACTAGGCAGACATGTAATATTGTGATATACTGTACAATAGACATGCTATATAAATTAGGTAAGGACTAGAGGATTATATTTCTGTGATATACTGTTAAATTGGATTTCCTTTGTCATCAGAAATTTGAGCCTTGCATAAGTATGCGTCAGATGGGTTGGATGTCCTTCGAAGGTTTTGCCAGGTACATTAATTTCCCAATAAATATTAAGTTGACTAACTCAAGAAATTCCGTCATAGGAATTCTGAAATGACATTCGTTACCAGTTGAGTTAAAGTGACCTTTACCTCTACTCCTCCCCAGGTTTTTAATGGACAAGGAGAACTTTGCGTCTAAGAACGAGGAGTCTCAGGTGAACACGGAGGAGCTCCAGTATCCCATGTCTTACTACTACATAGAGTCCTCTCACAACACATACCTCACTGGACACCAGCTCAAAGGAGAGTCCTCTGTAGAGCTCTACAGCCAGGTGATGATTGATGCAAGCGTACATATTTTCCTCAGGAAATTTACCTTTTCTAGGTTTGTTTTGGAGGGGATTTGTAAGCATCTGATCATTTTGTCAACTTCAGTTTGCCATTAACTTAATGTAGCAGGCGTAAAAGAAACGCCTGAGCGGGATCCCCACATTCGGTTTTCAGAGGGAAAGGAAGCTAGGGTGTTTCTGGTGTTTACCGACCCCGCTGAGGGTGGTTTGCCATAAGCAGGGCCAGGAGTTTTTCCAGACTATGTAAACTGACCAGGACAAACTCTGGGCTCCTGCTGTACTTTAGCTATAAGATGAATTCTGTTTTGGTGTGATCGCCCATCTTATTATTATGGGATGTGGTTGTTGTGTTGTCTAGGTGCTGCTGCAGGGCTGCAGGAGTGTGGAGCTGGACTGTTGGGATGGAGACGACGGATCACCCATTATCTACCACGGACACACCCTCACCACCAAGATCCCCTTCAAGGTTAGTCTATATCCTTGGCACAACACTGCCACTTTTGACCTCATGTCACTGTTTGGCCTAGATACAGTACAATAATGGCATACCTTTATTGTAGCTTGATTAATACTGCTGGAATCTCTTAGGGTTGTATTATTGAATAAATAGGACAATAGTTATGCATGTTATGCCTCATTTACTATAACCCATGGTCTTCTAGGATGTGGTGGAGGCGGTCAATCGCACTGCTTTTGTCAACTCAGACATGCCGGTCATCCTGTCCATTGAGAACCACTGCTCTCTACCTCAGCAACGCAAAATGGCTGAAATCTTCAAGGTACCTCCTTCTGGCTCTAATGGACCTGATCTGTACGGATTCTAGCTGACGTGTCATGTGTTCTATCTCGAGGAACCATGTTACTGCATTCTTTACTCCTTTGGAGATAGCTCCAAGTGCTTTGATAAAAAAAGCCTTTGATTGTAGCGTGTCTGTGAGGGATCCTTGGGCCCGCACACTTCATCTGTTTGTTTATGTTTGAAGGCGGTGTTCGGAGACAAGCTGGTGACCAAATTCCTGTTTGAGAGTGATTTCTCTGATGACCCTCTGCTGCCCTCCCCGCTGCAACTGAAGGGAAAGATCCTGCTCAAGAACAAGAAGCTGAAAGCACACCAGGCTCCCGTCGACATTGTCAAACAGAAGGTGAGAGCTTATACAGTGTGAACGCAGGATGACATCAGTCAAGCTGTGTGTCTTTGGAGGTGACTGAGGAGCCCACAGACAGATAATGTCAAAACAAGCTGTTAGGTTCATCTTAGGTAGTTTGTTTGTTGACATGGGGGCATTGGCTACAGGACTTTCCACCAATCATACCATGCTCTGTTCCCTCAGGCTCACCAGCTGGCTCACATCCAGGCCCAGGCCAGCAACGGGGCACCGGGTGGCAGCTCACCTGGTAACCATGATGATGATGAAGAGGAAGAAGACGAGTACGACGATGACTATGAATCCCTGTCTGATGGTGAGAGAGAGACTCTCTTTGACTGTATATAAACCCTCAGTAACAATGTACACAACACATACATGGACCAGTAATGTAGGAGAGAGATTTTTGTATTTAGACTCTCTCTTCTTTTTAACATCTTCCTCTATTCTGCCGTTTTAACATGAGTGAAACCTCTATTGGATTTACAATAGCTGTACTTGGAGATGGGTATCTGTTTTTCCTGTACGCTCTCCTCCTGTTCCCCTGTTCCCTGACTGTTCCTCTGTGCTTTAGCTGACGTTCTTTCAGCTTCCACTGCCTCGTATAGCCTTGAAGGTAAACTGAACAACATAACCGGCCTTCTCCACTGTACCAGCTCCTACTGCATGGCGCCTACTCTAACACTGTCTGTGCAGAGATCTTGTACTGTGTGCCTGGGTGCTTGTACGCTTTGCATGTCTCCCTTGCTGGCCTGCTATCCGGGGTGAAATGAAGGTTTTTAATGTTCCATGGGTGGGTAAGAAGTCTGGAACCTTAACATTGTGATTGGGGTTGATTTGTAGTGCTAAACTGCAGATGGAATGAGGTTAAAGCAGCTGAGCATGTGGTTTGGGGGGGGGGTCATGTCTAATTATCTGTTTGGTCCGTGTTGTCAGTACACACAGGGCCAGTATAGTGTAAATACGCCGCCCCCCCCCCCCCCCCCCCCCCATCCGCGCTGCTGTGTTTTCATATGTGCGTCCTGACCTCGCTGGTGACAGTGGCTCATCAGAGAGAGAAAACAAAAGACATCTGTTTTCTCAGGCCCCTGCGCGCCCCTGTCCAGGGAGCGGTGGGGCCTAAAAACCATAGCCCACTCCTCTACTGTTAGGACCTCTGGGAATAAGCTACGCTCTCACCAGCCACTACCACATGTAACCAGAGCCGTATGAGACACAGACAGACGAAGCTACAGTGTCCTGTAACTGCACTGAACTGGTGGGATTCCTGCTGTAAAATAACTGTCATTTGGGTGAAAATTCCTCTTTTAACTGCAAAGCACTTTGGATGTGTGCGCTACATGGCTTACATTGCTGCTCATGCTGTGTGTGGGCGAGAGAAGAACAGGAGGCTCAAACTCCCAGCTCTTTGTTTACAGAATCTGCATTGCATTGTGGTATTTGTGGAGGGCCAATGTTTTCCTCAGAATGGCATTTCCCCAATTCCCAGCATTGCAAGCAAGCTATCTGAAATGTCTTATGGGAAGAAATTCTTCTCCGTTTACCGCTAATGGCTTGACAAGGAAGATTCAAAGTGAAACCAATGACTAACATCACATTGAAAGCAGTCAGTTGATTAAATTGAGCTGTTCTGCCTGACTCCCTCACTCAAAGATGATGGTTATGTTTCTCAGATAACATCCTGGATGATAAACCAGAAGGGAAGTCCTCGGGTGACAAGGAAGATCATCACATCATTGATGAGATGCCCAAGAGGATGAAGAAAGCAGACAATGCTGTAACCCAGAGCAAAGGGAAGGTGGGTTTAACCTCTAACCTCTGACATTTAGCAGACGCTCTTATCCAGAGCGACTTACAGTTAGTGATTGCGTACATTTTTCATACTGGCCCCCTGTGGGACTCGAACCCACAACCCTGGCGTTGCAAGCGCCATGCTCTACCAACTGAGCTACACGGGACTAGTCTCTTGAGCCAAGAGAGACCATAGAGATAAAATGGATCTTAATTGTGAACTACGAGACACCAGATCCTATATAAATGTTTGACAAATGCACCCTAAATGTGTGTATTCTTCGAAGTAATCACAGATTGAATCACTGACTCTACTTCTACCCCAGGTATTTGACATGGAGCTGGGAGAAGAGTTCTATCTCCCCCAGAATAAGAAGGAGAGTCGCCAGATCGCTCAGGAGCTCTCTGACCTCGTCATCTACTGCCAGGCCGTCAAGTTCCCTGGTAGTGGGCCTTTACTTTCATTGACTTTACTATATGGCTCCTAGAAATGGGTGGATGTTCAAAATGTTGTGGATTTGCTTATGCCTAGAGTGTTTTTATTCTGCCTAGTGATTTTTCAATCGTGAGAGATAACGATTTAAAAGTTCACAAAGGAATAAAAGCAGGGCTATGAATTGATGGTAAATTAGAATCAGGTGCAACATCTGCTAGGGGCATAATTCCCCAGAGCACAGGCAGAACAAACAAACAGGCAACATTAAACCAGCGAGGGGAGGAGGAGAGATGGTGCCCTTAAGCCACGGCCTTGTCTTAAACTCTTGTCTGGGGCTCTCTCTGTGTGTGTGTGTGTGTGTGTGTGTGTGTGCGTGCATCCATCTGTGTTGTGTGGGAAACAGGCCTCTCCACCCTCTCTCCTTCGGCCTCTGGCAGAAGAAAAGACAGGAAGAGCAGGAAGTCCATCTTTGGCACGGCTCCTGGTCGTATGGGAGGCAGCCCCGGGGAGGCGGTGACGCTGGGCCGGACCCCAGGGAAGGGTACGTATGTCTGGGCCTTTCCCCATGACCCAGACCCCTAGACCTGGAGCTGGGGGTTGAAAGGGGACAGGGAAGGACACCCACATAGCCGGACTACACCCCATGGGAACCAGCCTGTTAACTTTTCCATACTTAAAATGGCCCTCTTAAAGTGAGTGCGCAATGTAATCAAAAGTGTACAGAAAGATGCGGAGAGGAGCTGTCGTGGCATTTTTGTTAAAGCGTTTGTAAAAGGGTTGAAATGGGATGTTTTTTCTGGCTCAGCACTCAGAGGCTTGGCAGAGAGAGGTTGAATAGTAGTGTAGCTAATGTCTCTTTCATGATCAATCAGAACACTAAGAAAGGTACTATTTGTGTTATTTAAATGTCCTACCTAATGAAATGTTGAATTGTCTTAAAGTCCTGGGGAGAAAAAGTGTTTTTTTAAATGTGTTCAAATCGTTATTTGAGCTTTCCTTATTATTCACTGCTAAACGTATCAGAATCGGTATCAGAATCAGTATCAGAATCAGAATCAGTATTAGTATCAGAATCGGTATCAGAATCGTAATCTGCTAAATGACTAGCTAGGTTGTAAATGTCAATTTGGCCCTCTCTGACTGACCTCTAGGTGTCGTGGAGGCTATGCGTCTGGGCTGGGAGGAGCAGATGTCGCCCGTACTCAGCCCCAGCGCGTCACTGAGCGCCATCATCCGCACTCCCAAGTGCTACCACATTTCCTCGGTCAACGAGAACGCTGCCAAGCGCCTGTGCCGCCGCCACTCCCATAAGCTGATCCAGCACACCACCTGCCAGCTGCTAAGGACCTACCCGGCCGCCACGCGCATCGACTCAGCCAACCCCAACCCTCTGCCCTTCTGGCTACACGGCATGCAAGTGGTGGCTCTCAATTATCAGACTGACGGTAAGGTGATGGAGTTGGAGGTTTACTGATAGGGTTGGTCCAGGTTAGTCCCTGGATGAGACTATGCTCAATAGAGATCCTTCATTGAAAGTCATATTTTGTCCAGGACCAGGCTGGGACTTTCTCAGGAAATAACCCATGAGGTCCATAACTAGGGCTCTAGAGTTTCTCCCTGGTCAGGTGACATGGTAAGGAAAAAAATAAGGGGTTTCCCCAAATTATGAACTCTTTTAAATTTTCCCAAGGGAAATTTCTATTTGCCTATTCTTTTGAAAATGGCCCCCCCCCCCCCAGGGGGCCCAATTAACCAAATCCCCGGGGGGGAATTTGTTGGGGAAGAGAAGAAACAGGGCACCCCAGGGTTGGTTCTTTTCAGGGTTTTTTCCCCCTGAAAGGGGGGTGCAGGCCCCCCCCTGGGCCCCAAGGGAAACCTAGCCCAACTGGGGTAAAATAAACCCGGGGTCGTGTTGTTTACTGAGGGGCCTGTTTGCTTTTTTAGGGGTTTTGGTCGTTTTCCCACAAATTTAAAAATTGTTTGGGGGGTTTTTTTTGAAAGTTTTGCAAATTTTTTTAATTTCCCTCCCTTTTCAGCTTTTCCCAAACACAAATAAAAAGTTTTGGGGGAAAGGGTTTGGCTGGGGCGGGATTTTTAAAAGGAGGGAAAGAAAGGGGGGGGAAAAGGAAAGAAAGAGACGAGAAGGATGAGGAAAAGAGAGAAAGAGAAGGAAAAGAAGAGAAAGAAAACCCAAAGCGGGGGAAAAGGAAAAAAGAGAAAAAGAGGGGAAGAGGGAGAGGGGAGAAGAAAGAGGGGTAAAGGAAAAGGGAGAGGGAAAAAAGGGAGGGGAAAAGGGAAAGGGAGGGGAAGAAAGAGAGAAAGGAGGGGAGAAAGAAAAGGAGAAGAGAGTAAAAGAAAAGGGGCGGATGAAGAAAAAATTTTTAAAAAGAAGATAGTAAGAAAATTAAGGGAACCCAAAAAATTTCCCCCCCAAGAGAAAGAAAAGAAAGACCCCAAAACCGGGTATTTAAAAAAAGTTTTAAAAAAAGGGAAAAAGGATAAAAAGCCCCCCGGAAAAACCAAAGGGAAAAAGGAGAAAAGTGGGGCCCAAAAAGGGAAAAAAAGGAAACGAAAAGATAAAAAGGAGAAGGGGAAAAGGGAGGGGAGAGAGAAAAGGGAGGAGGAGAGAAAGGGGGAAAAGGAGAGAAAAGAGGGGAAAAGAACAAGTGGGAGGGGGAGAACCCAAAGGAAAAAAGAGAAGAGAAAAAGGAACGGAGAGAGAAAGAGAAAGGAGAGAAAGGAGGGGAGAGGGAAAAGGGAGAGAGAGGGGAAAAAAGGGGGAAAAAAAAGGGAGGGGAGAAAAAAAAGGGGAAGAGAAAAAGGAGAAGAAAAAAGGAAAGGGGGAGAAAGAAAAAAAAGGGGGAAAGAGAAAGGAAAGAAGAAAAAAAAGAAAAGGACCAGAGCAAAGGGAAAAAAAAAGAAAAAAAAACGTTTTAAAGAACCCAAAGAAAGAAAAAGGGTAAAAAGGGGGCGAAGGAGAAAAAAGGGAATTTTTAAAGGGGGAAGTAAGAAAAGCCCCCCGAGAAAAGAGGAGTTTTTTAGGAAAGAGGGGAAAGAAAAGAAGGGGAAAAGGGGAAGGGGAAAGGGGGAAAGGGAGGGAGGAGGAAAAGAGAAAAGAGAGAGGGGGAAAAGGAGAAAAAGGGGGAAAAGAGAGAGAGAAAAGGAGAGGGGAAGAGAAAAAAAACAGAAAAAAGGAGAGAGAGAGAGAAAGGGGGGAAAAGGGGAGGGGAGGAAAAGGGGGAGGGGAAAAAAGGGGAGGGTAAAGGGAGGGGGGGAAAAAAGGAGAAAGAAAGAAGAAAAAGGGGGAGAGAGAAAAGGAAAAGGAACGAAGAAAAGGGAGAGGGGAAAAAAGGGGGAGAGAGAGAAAGGCGGAGAAAGCTTGTGAAGGGGGAGAGAAGAGGATGGAAGAAGAGAAAGGGGAAAAAGGGGAAAAGAGGAGAGAAAGGAGGGGAAGAGAGAGAGAAAGGGGAGAGGAGAGAGGAAAAACCCCCCCGGGAAGGAAAAACCCCCAGAGAGGGGGAAAAGGGAGAGAGGTAGGAGCAAAGGAGAAAGAGTTAAATCTAAAGGGGTATTTTAAATAGTACTCAGATCTTTCTAAATATCCCCCCCTTCTTGCTTTTCCCCCTAAAAGTTTAATAAAATCTTCTTTTAAAAGGGGGAATCTTCTTTCCCCAAGTTTCTCTTTTATTCCCTTTCTCTATTTTTCTCCGGTCTCTTTTCCACCCCCCCCCACCCCCACCCCCCCCCTTTTCTCTCTCTCTTCCAGGTCTCCTTCCCCCCTCTCTTCCCCCCGTTCCTCTTTTTTAAACCCGTCTTCCCCCCTCCTTCCCGTCCCCTTTTCCAAACCCCCTTCCTCCCCCGGGCCCTTCCCCCCCCCCATCCCCCTTCTCCCCCGCCCGTCTCTCTCTCTCCTCTCCAGTTCTCTCTCTCTCTCCACCGTCTCTCTCTCTCCCGTCTCTCCCTCTTCTCCCAGTCTTCTCTCATCTTCCCGTTCTTCTCTTCTGTTCTCTCTCTCCACCGTCGGCTCTTCTTCTTCTCCCGTCGCTCTCTCTCTCCCCCGGGCGGGATCGCATCCTCGCCTCTCCCAGTCGCTCTCGCTCTCTTCTTTCTCCTTCTTCGTCTTCTCCTCTCTTCGTCCTTCCTCCCCGTTTCGCTCTCCTCTCTCCCCGCTCTCCTCTTCTCGCTCTCTCCCGCTCTCTCTCGTCTCTCTCTCTCCCGCTCTCTCCCGTCTCTCTCTCTCCCGTCTCTCTCTCTCCCGCCCGTCTCTCTCGCTCTCTATAGACCTGGCCATGCAGTTGAATACAGCTCTGTTTGAAGCAAATGGGCATTGTGGTTACGTCCTGAAACCTCCAGTGCTGTGGGATCGCTGCTGTCCCCTCTACCAGCAACTCTGCCCCCTGGAGAGAGACGTGGAGAGCATGATCCCAACACTCTACTCTCTGACCGTGAGCACACACACATACACTCCCCTCCGTATGTATTTGGACAGCAAAACATTATTATTTTTTTGCTCTATACTCCATCATTTTGGATTTGAGATCAAATGTTTCATATGAGGCGACAGTACGGAATGTCATCTTTTATTTGAGTTTATTTTCATACAAATCTGTTTTACCGTTTTAGAAATGAAAGCATTTATATGTCTAGTCCCCCCATTTGAAGAAGTCATAAGTATTTGAACAACTTCACTTATAGGGCATTAAAGTAGTCAAAAGTGTAGTATTTGGATCAATTTGCAGTTTGTTTTGGTTGTGTTTCGGATAATATTTTGTCCAATAGGAACTGAATGGACATGGATATATGGAGGGAACTGTACATGGATGCACACATAAGCAAGCATGCAAACACACACACACACACACACACACACACACACACACACACACACACACACACACACACACACACACAAACAAACACACAGTGCTCTGGGAGTACACACACAATCTCACCCCCTCTAGGGATACCCAGACACTCAACCCAACAAAAACTACAATGTAGCCAAACGCACTTCAATATGACCCATATACTGGTCTCTCCCACTAACTACCCTCCTGTGTATAAACACACACTTACCCAAAGCACTCCCATCGGGCTCTTCAACATGGCTTTGAAGGTTTATTGGAGCTATTTGCACCAAATATCTGATTTCTCTAGTTGACATACAGGGACGCCACCCTATAAATCTTCTGCAATAGTGAATGGTAAAAGAGGTCATAGAAAACGAGTTATGTCTAAACAAAGAAACGTTTTAATTTCTCATCCAGAGCGATTTACAGGAGCAATTAGGGTTAAGTGCCTGGCTCAAGGGCAAATCGACAGATCTTTCACCTAGTCAGTTTGGGGATTCAAACCAGCGACCTTTCGGTTACTGGCGCAACGGGCTTAACCACTAGGGTACCTGCTGCCCGTTAATTAAACAAAGAGATGTTTAATTTCTCATAACCTGACAGGAAGAAGTCATGAGCCTTCAGTGGCAGGTCAGGGGAACCTTTATAATAACCGAACTCGGCTTTGGTGTAAACAGTTAGGCCTACCCTCTGGTTGAATGTTGCTGAAGGTCCCTATAACCAGCAGTGGAATATGACACAAGTATTATAAAATACTAAGTAAATCAGTCATGTAATGCCACGTATCTGTATTAAAGTGTATTGAGATGATTAAATTCACTTTTGATATGAAGTAAAGATGTCCTCCCCCTCTCTGTCAGATTGTGTCGGGGCAGAACGTGTGCCCTGCCAACAGCGCGGGCAGCCCCTGTGTGGAGGTGGACGTGCTGGGTATGCCTGTGGACTGCTGCCACTTCCGCACCAAGCCCATCCACCGCAACACGCTCAACCCCATGTGGTCAGAGCACTTCCTGTTCCCCGTGCACTTTGAGGATGCCTGCTTCCTGCGCATCGCTGTGGTTGAGAACAACAGCTCCCAGACCACCGCTCAAAGGACGCTGCCTCTACGGGCCCTCAAACCAGGTGAGGGAGAGTAGGAGGAGGGGAGGGGGGAGAGGAAATGAGGAGGAAGAAAGTGATGAGGACTTTAAACTTTAAACACTTTCAATATTCCTGACAAATGTTCTCAAGCGACAGCATGAAACCTATAAACATGCTATTTAGCAACATGCTGTTTAGCAAAACGCTATTTAGCTACACGCTATTTAAATAAAATAAAATAAAATTTCATTTGTCACATGCGCCGAATACAAGTGACCTTACAGTGAAATGCTTACTTACAAGCCCTTAACCAACAATGCAGTTTTAAGAAAGAATACAAAAAAAAACTAAAAAATTACTAAAGAATACAATATAAAATAATACGAAATAGAAGTAACAAATAATTAAAGAGCAGCAGTAAAAATAACAATAGCGAGGCTATATACAGGGGGTACTGGTCAATGTGGGGGGGGCACCGGTTAGTTGAGGTAATTGGGGTAATATGTACATGTAGGTAGAGTTATTAAAGTGACTATGCATAGATAATAAACAATATATAATAATAATATGCCATTTAGCAGACGCTTTTATCCAAAGCAACTTACAGTCATGTGCGCATACATTTTTACGTATGGGTGGTCCCGGGGATCGAACCCACTACCCTGGTGTTACAAGCGCCATGCTCTACCAATTGAGCTACAGAGGACCACAACAATAAACAGAGAGTAGCAGCAGCGTAAAAGAGGGGTGGTGGGGGGGGGGGGGGGGGGGGGGGCAATGCAAATAGTCTGGGTAGCCATTTGATTAGATGTCCAGGAGTCTTATGGCTTGGGGGTAGAAGCTGTTTAGAAGCCTCTTGGACCTATACTTGGCGCTCCGGTACCGCTTGCCGTGCGGTAGCAGAGAGAACAGTCTATGACAAGGGTGGCTGGAAT